ACATACAATTAGTATCAAGTGTTATATTATTAAATATGTCAAATTAAAATGACATAATGTAATAGTACTATAACACATATGAATTGTTTTATAATTGTATAATATATATGTTAAATATATATTCGACGTTTTCATTTTATGTGACAGAATAAATATGTGATATGCTGAAATTTTAGTCACCAGAGGCCAGCAGGTATTTGGAATAAAGTACAGAAAGTACATGTCTTAGTTGACCCCCTTTGTGCTATGTCCCAAGGGAAAGTTGTAAGCCAAAAATGAAAAGCTAATTCATTGAGCTCTTTGGCAAGTTAAAGCACAATCAATATTATTTTGATTTCATTCAAAATAGGAAGGACCCAGGTCCTTCACTTTATCACATTTTGCCACACATCTGATGTGCTGGGAAAGAACCGGGTGGCTACTGATGGAGCACTGCCTGAGAGCAGTAGTAGAGAACACATGCTCCATGTAGAGCAGATGGACCACTGCTATTGGCTGGACCCTCCGTTGGCAGTGGAGCAGCAAGCAGTACAAGTCCATGGCAGCAACCGGACCTAAATTGTGACCCGGAAGCAGAAATGCAGAATGGGCAGAAACTTGCATTACACCACGTAGACACAGGGGTGAGTGGAGAGCTACGTGGTCACCTGAGTGTTATGGCATATGTCCTGGAAGACGGTGTGGAGGCCAGAGTACAAAGTTCATGGGATTACCAGAATCACTGAAGAAAGAATTTTTGAGAACCTGGAATTTCTGCATGAGGAGTTAGGGCATCTCAGTGACACCAGTGAAGCAATTTATAAAATTATCTGATAGAAGTTAGTATTTCAATGACTGTATCATATAGTAACAAGTAAGTATAAAATAATCAGAAATTTGCTCTTGTCCAGACATGATATTAAACATTCTCATTTTGATAAAAGCATTCCATTTATTCTTCTACACTTCCACTGGGATACATTTGAAGGGGTGTCAATTGATAGTTTATCTGGACCCTAGTTTATCTATGTGAAGTCATCATATCTAATCATCAGAATCAGCCATTTGAACATTATAAACATTACCCTATCTAACAGCTTTGAAATCAATGTGTGAACATTCTATTTTCCCCCCTCAAGATTCATGGTGAGGGCCAGTAAAGATTGAGAAATTCTACTTTTTATTTTTTCAACGAGTAGAAGATAAAATCCTTGAAAACTGGCAAATAAGGATGAAGTACAGGTCTATAATGAGTGGCCAAGAGTACTTCATGAATGCAGGAAGGCATTTCTAAACAGGCCTGGTGCCCAGTTAAAACTGCAGATCATGAGGGGTGATGATAATTCTTTCCCAGAAAGGTCCCCTGGGTTATTAAATTTTATAAAGGCATCATGTGCTTACCATGCAGCAAATATAAAGTACTGATGTTAAAGAAGGTACAGAAAAGTGCACAGTGAATCACAGAAAGCCTAATTAGAGACAGAAAAGCATATATGAATGGGATTAATAATAAAATATGAGTTCATAGGTGGATCTTGCAATGACACCTATGTTCTCCCAGTAAGAAACCAGAGCATAGAGTAGTTATCAAAAAGGGGGTGTTTGGCCTTGTGTTTTAAAATATTGCAGGAATTGAAAAGCCTTATCACTTAAATCAAGATAACATCTTCTTATAAATTATAGACATTTTTGTCATTCTACATAGAATATCTCTTCAGCCATAGTGAAGAATGCACATAGGAATAAATTATCTTTTTGACCCTTCACAGGATTACACTGCCCAGTAAAGCAGAGACTGACCATGGCTCCATCTTGGAGAGATGAAAAGACCTACCAGAGGAAATTGAGATATGCTAAGTAACATGATTATGGATAACTTAATGGAGGTGCCCAAGTCATTTTTTTTTAGTTGTCCACAAAAACTCAAACTCACACATACAAACTCAACTAAAAATTCTTTATTGAGACCAGTAAGAGGATTATATTTAGGCAGAACAGAAAGAATAGTCAACAGCTGATGGAATCCTAACATGCTGTAAAACTCAGTGATTCTACCTCTTTTGGGTTTAAATGATTTTATTTTCAATTTTTAACCACTTTTATGTAGAGGAGTCTTGTGAAAATGCTTAAAGTATAAATATGACACACGTGTACATACCTGGATTATTTATATTTTGTACCGGTGCCCTTGAGAGGCTTAAAATGAGGGAAAAGATGCCATGTAAATCCTGCTATTCCCTTTGATAAGATAACTGTGTATTGAAGAAAAGATTAAGAGAGCTTTAGAGCCATGTTTGGATTAGCTAACAGTCTTCACATACAGTGATAGTTAAAAGTGACATTGAAGAAATTGTATTCAGCATGCTAAAATATACTAGGATAATATTCCAAAATAACTAAACTCGTATTTTATATTTTGGTTTTGAGGGGCATAGCACATAGCTAATGCCTCAAAAATTCATTTATTTTAAAGTGATATAGTACAATGTATCTGGACTTATACTATTATTTCTTAATTCCTTATAATTGAAATGTCTGTTATTATTATTATTATTATTGTTATTATTATTGTTTTATTTTGAGACAGGATCTCCCTCTAGCCCCAGCTTGTGGGAGACAGGTTTGAGCCTAGGGTGAAAGTCTTATTGACAGCCATACAGCAGACCAGAGGTAACGGCCCAACTGTTGGAGCCACAAGAAATGCCTTGTGACATTTGCTCCTATTGGCAGATCATGAGACTGATGCCTAGAGCTTGCCACTCCCTAATCACCACCCTTGGAATTCCAAATTGCAACACTTAGATATTGCTACAGTCATGGTCATGTGGTTTCCAGGAATCAGGGCTCTGTAATCTGAAACCCATAATGCTAATGAGGCATCTTACCCTCTATTCTGTGGTAGGATATTGTCTGTCATGCTAATAGGATGCTAATTCTGTTATGCTAATAAGGTATCCTACTTGCTGTGCTGTGATTGGACCACTACCCCTATATAAGCTTCTGTCTTCCTGCAACAAAGCAGACCTATGTTACTGAACCTGTGTATCCTACTTGCTGTGCTGTGATTGGACCACTACCTCTATATAAGCTTGTGTCTTCCTGCAACAAAGCAGACCTATGTTACTGAACCTGGTTTTTTGTGTCTGAATGTGGCTCCACTGACACAGTCTCCTTACCAGCCCTGGGGTCTGGGACCGGGCAGAAGCAGCGATGACAGAAGACGGCTCCAGGCAGGCAGAAGAGCGGCCTCAGCCCAGGATGGGAGAAGGAGCAGCATGCATAAGAATGGAAGAGCAGCCACCCTGACCGTGACTGCACCAGCTGACCTAGAACTCACTATGTAGACCAGGCTGGCCACAATCTTATAGACATCCACCTGCCTGTGTCTCTTGAGTGGGAGTGCTGGGATTAAAGGCATGTTCTACTATGCCCAGCCCCTTTGAAACTTCTTAATGTAAATTTTGTATGCTTCCATAAAATTTCTATGAAAATAATGCCTAGAAAATACAATACTCAGACACAGCTAACTTGTACCATGTGTTAAGAAGGGACCAGTGTGCTGTGTATTAACATACGCACTTACATAATCCTTATATCATTGCTTCAAGATAGGTTATTTAAAAATTGAGAAGCTGGGAGGTATTCCTTGGTGGTAGAAACATATACCTAGCATGCATGAAGCCATTGGTTTAGCCCTAGTACACATACACACAAAAAAAGGAAGGAAGGAAGGAAGGAAGGAAGGAAGGAAGGAAGGAAAGTTCAGTGGATTTGCAGAAGGAAAGAAGGAAGGAAGGAAAGTTCAGTGGATTTGCAAGAAGTCACAAAGGTAGTACAGAAAGGTACATGTTCCTCACCCAGTTTTCCTCAGCAGTCACATCATTCATAGCTACAGTACACTATCAAAGCCAAGAGGGTGGTCCAGATGATGTGTGTAGCTCTATGCTATTTTATCATTGGCTGAATTGCACACTATCACTACCTTCAAAATACAGGAGCGGTTCATTTCCACAAAAATCTTTTTTGTGCTTCCTCTTCACAGTCATGTTTCCTGTTCCCTACCTATCAGCAATCACTAACAATCCTTTCCATATTTAAGGACTCTGTCACTTCAACAGTATAAGAGAAATCAGAATGTGTAAACTTTTAAATGAGTTTTGCAGTTAACAAAGTGCTCTATTGTCCTTGTAAATTGTGGTTTGAAGTTGTTGTATGCATCAATTATTTTTCCCTTTTAATTTTTAAATTCAGTACTATTCCATAGTTTGAATGTACTACCTATTTAGGGGTATTTTAGTTGTTTATAGTTCTGTGTGAGTACAAAAAAAGCAGCTATGAGCATTTGTGCTGAAGTTTTTGTGATTTGGTTTTTAATAGATATATTTCAGAGATCAATGTGACAAACACGCTGCAGTAACATGGCTACTCAGACTCCAAATCTAGATGTTTCTCCTTGTGTCCTGTGCTGCTTTCACTGCCCCTGCTATTCTGCAGGTCATAAAAGAGTAATGATTATTTATGTGATTACTTCTGGACAAAATGGTGCATTAAATAACATATGCTCAGCAACTTGACTGATTTTAGAACCCTTTACAAACATCATTCACACAAACACTGTTTGAGTCCCTGCTGGGTGCCATGTCCTGAGCTCAGTGTTGAGGCCCAGTGCCTGATCCACATGGATTTTATGAAATTTTGGCATAGAGGTAGTGTGTTCTATATTACTTGGCCTTAATGGTTTTCAATTTTAGTTTTGCTCAGAGTTCATGTGAATTCTATACTGATATTTAAATGTGTAGTCTTAAACGTAAATTTCCTGAAACATTTGGGTTATTGTACTTAGTGCTATCATAGGAAAACAAATGCTGAACGTGCATGCACGAACACAGTATCTAATTTTGCCATCCATGCAGTTCAGCACTTCTTCCAAATAATGGTAAGTTTCAGATGGAGATTGTTTATAGCATGTTCATCAGTGGGTGATTTCTTTTACTTATTCTATGTCCCTTTCTTCCGATTAGCATGAAAAATTAATCAACCGTCCACAGAGTACCAAAAGAATTTCTTCAGACCCTCTAGGTAAGGGCTATTTGTTTTGCCTTCATTTACTACTTTTTAATCTCCTAAAAGTTATGTGTTGAATCCTTATAATAAAAACGAAGTGGAGAGTATAACAATCATTATATATCAATCAATGAACTTCTTTGGGAAATCATGTACATATAATCCAAAAATAACATTCTCAAAATTAATACAAGTAAATTTGTATTGAAATCTGTAAGAAATATTAGTAAATATTATTTTGCTCAGGTAACAAGCAGCTTCTCAGTTTAGTAAATACATTACAGTTTTGTACTATTACAAAATTGTTCAGCTCAGATGCTGATTTTAGTTGTCAATCTCTAAGTGTGGTCTGTTCAAACCAACCTCTGAAACTAGTAGATTTGAAATTGAGGTGTATATTGGATTGAAACCATCAAAAAGTTAACATTTGCTTGTGGTTATGTACAATTAGTAAGGCTAGGAATAAATAAACATGTAAATACCTAACAAAGATGCAAATTTCCTGATAGGATTTGACACTTTTGTTCTACTTTAGCTTTTAATACAATTTATTTTGCAATGCTAATGTCTACTAATGCAGTAACTCATTCTCTTCAAAGGCATCAGAGTAGTCTCCCTATTTTATTAGGTCCACCATGAATGACAGAGTGCCCATCAGAGTTTTTTCTTATGGATTAGTGCAAAAAAATGCATATTTTCTGAACTACATTGAGTAGAACATAAGAATAAACTTCAGTATTATATACCTTCTCAGTTAAATATATTTTTTTAAAAGAGCAAATTATATATTTTGAAAAAGAAACAACTAGAGTAGATGGAAGCTCAGCAAGTTGAACAGCATTAACTCTTAAAGAACTTGACATTCAAACAAAAGCACAACTGCCATTGTCAATGATCACCAGAGAATGCAGGAGCACAAGGGTCCTTCTCATGTGGAAGATCTAGGCACCCTCAAAGCTTCAGTGGGAAAGACAATGATGGTAGATGGGATGAGACAGTTGGAGCAGTAATAAATAAAACTATTGAATGTTTTAAATGTCAACTTAAATTTGCATGTCAAGAGCACCCGTCAATAGATTTATTAAGTGGGGCTATCAAGATGAGATTAGACTCAAAACTCCTATGAGCTGCACAGAAGACCAAAACGAGTAAAAGCAAATAAGAAGAATGTGAGAATAAGAACCCTAGTTCCTGCAATGAAGTTCAACGATGAATGCGGTAGTCAGCTTTTTTGGCTCAGATTTCAGTCTATGGTCACTTGGCCCTGCTGTCATGGTTTTTTGGCCATAGAATCCATCATGATGGGAGCATTTGGCCGAGGAGTTCTGGTCATCTCATTCTATCTTGAAAGAGAGAGAAACAAGGAGAGGCCAGGATCCACATTCCCCATCCAAGAGGAAATTCCCAAATGACCTAACTTCCTCCCACTGGGCCCCATCTGCTGAAAGTTCCACTATCTCCAAACACCACCACAGGCAGGTAAACATGGGCCTTTGGGGGACATTCAAATCCCACCTCTTACTGGCATGATTATAATGAGTCAGAAAGGCTAGAAGATAGAAGAAATATTTGAGATATATAAAGTTGAGACCATTAGGACTTAGGTATGAGGGAATGAGAAATAGACATTGAAGAATTTGAATAATATCCTGTGCTTTACATTACTCAGCTGAACCGTCCATTATATTAACAAAAACAATAACAAAGAAGAAGGTGAAAAAAAGGTCAACTGGAAAGAAGAAAGGGGCAAAGACACTGATTTTTGTTTTATAAATATGATATCTGCATTGTCTGTCTTATAGCCTAGTAGAGATGAGCAAGAAATAAATACTGCAGGTATTACAGTAGGTCTGAGAATACAAAGCTAAAGATGAAGGTATAGTAGATGTGGGGTACCGCATATACAGGAAATAGGTGAGTAAGCAAGAGTCGACAAATTCGTGGAGGGAGCAAGTGAGAAACAGAAAAGGTTGGGCCAGAGAAAGAACTGAGTGGGGGAAAGCACTTGCTGTGCATGCCTGACAACCTGAGTTCGATCTCTGAAACTCACTGTGAAAGGAGAAAACCAACTCCCAAAAGGTGCCCTCTGACCTCTGCATGTGTGCCACGGCGTGCACACACACAAATAATAAATAAAATAAAACTTTAAAAAGAATAATTTCATAGAAAGTGAAAGCGGACTGAGACAGTAAGCAGTAACTGAGTAACATTGGAAGAATGAGCATTAGCAAAGGGCAGAGAGGGAAGAGGAGAACCAGGAAAGGACATGGACTCTGAAGAAAGGGATGAAACAGTCCTTAGAGGTCATAGAAAAATGCAGGCTAAGAACCCAGTTGCTGTAAATTGTAACCAAAAGCCTGTAAGAAGGTTTGAATAATGAATTAGATACAGCTTCAAAAAGGATGTAAGCAGGATAAAGAAATGAAAAAGAAAAGGGCACAATAGCTTGACAAAGTAGCAGAATAACAGAAAATAGAGGCCCAAGGCTGTTTGGAAAGAAGTACAGAAAAATGAAGCCATGGTGAGGAGGTTACGGTGGAAGGTGTGGACGGAAAACATTTGGTAAAAACACCTCCTGGGGGAAAGAATCCAGCAAGAGAGGGGGGAGAGTCTTTAGGAAAGTGATTTTTTTTTAAGAATTTTTTGTTTATTTATATGTCAGTGTCTGAGTGTGTTTATGCACACATCTGTGTAGGTAGCTGCAGAGGCCAGAAGAGGGCACAGGATTCTGGAGCTGGAGTTGAAAGCAGTTGTAAGTGTGGTCATGACTTGGGTGTTGGGAATCCAACTGGGGTCTTCTGGAAGAGCAGCAAGTACATTTAACCATCGAGCCATTCCTCCAGCCCCAGGAAAGTGATTTCTAAATAAAAAGGAGGTAACACAAACCCAAGGAAAATGGCTTCGGATAAAGTAGGACTTAGTGAAACAGAAAGAGTGAGATTGTGAAGTACATGTCATAGAAAAGAGTTTTTTTGGTCATTGGTTTGGAAAATATAAAATCAAATTTAGGGGAATAAAAAGATTTTTCAGTGGATTGGTGAACTCAGTAGCTCAAATGGCACATCTGTTGCTGTGATAAAATACATGACCAAAAGCAATTTAAAGAAGTTTATTTTGGTTTATGGTTCTGGAAGCTTAGAGCCCATCACAGTGGGGAGGCATGGCAGCATGCAGCAGGAACAAGAAGCTGAGAGATTACGTCTCAACTACACATAGGAAGCAGAGAGAGGTGACTGAAGTGGGGTGAGGCACGAACTCTCAAAGCCAACCTCTAATGGATACTTCCTCCAGTAAGGCTGTACCTTCTAAAATTTCCCAAACTGTGCCATGCCAACTGGGACCAATTGTTCAAATACTTGAGCCACTCCCACATTGCAGTGCCTGGCCTCCATAGCCTCATGGTCATATCATAAGGCAAAATGCACTTAGTAGCCATAGTCTGTCACAGTTTCAAAACTATTCAATATCCCAAAGTCTCATCAGAGATGCAAGACAATCTCTTAAACTGTGACACCCATAAAAAAATTAAAAGATAAGTGACATACTTCCTATACACGGCACAGATTGTACATTCCCATTCCAAAAGGGAAGAATGGGGACTTTGTGGGGGAAATACTGGGCTAAAGCAAGACAGAAAACCAGCAAAACAAACACCAAATCCTATAATTCCATGTTCAGTGTCTGGGATGTCAGCTTTACAAGACTTAGATGACTCTGACCCTCCAGCTTTGCTGTCTGCACTTACATCTCTCTTGGGCTTGTTCTAGTCTCTACATGGTGCTCTCCTTGGAAGATGTCTTACAGCTCTGGCATCTCTAACATCTTGGAGTCTCCATCACTATATAGGTTTCACCTTCATGGCCTCATATAATGACCTCTTAGGGTCTTCTGGCCTCTCAGGACCTTCTTTTCACAGTACCTCCAGCACTGCCACACTTAATCTGGCATCAGCAGCTCTCTGAAAATGCAAAGGAAGAATCCACAACCCCTTCACTCTTGCATTTTTCATGCCTCCAAAGTTGATGACACTGTCAAATTTGATTTCCAAAATGAGATGGACTCTTGCCCCCTCAATCACATTATCAGCAGTGTTCCTAGGTTGAAGTAATTGCTCTATAGGAACAAGTACCCCCTTGAACTTTGTCCTTTAACAAGTTGGAAGCTTAGTTGGGTACAGCCTTGCCCTTGAGTTCTACTTAACTTTAGGCAAGTTCTTAGGATAAGGGCAGAAGGCAGCCAGATTCCTTGCCAAAGTATCACAGGGAAGGCAGCTAGTCAAGTTGCTGTTAAAAGTCCTTCCTTCCCTCTTAAACCTCTTGAGCTGTACCTCAACATTCCACATTGCTTTTTTTTGGTCTTTTTGAGACAGGGTCTCCCTGTAGCCCCAGCTGTCCTATGTAGCTATGTAGACCAGGCTGGCCTTGAGCTCACAGAGATCTGCCTGCCTCTGCCTCCCAAGTGCTGGGATTAAAGGCGTGCACCACCATGTCCAGCCCCACATTACTTTTAACATTACTCTCTTCTAGGATCCTACTTAGAAAAACACATCAAGCTCTGCTTAAAGTATTCAACTTTTTTTTTTTCTAGCCCAAAGTTCAAAAATCTTCCTCTAAAAACAATATGATCAGATTCTTCTCAGTAATATAATAGCCCACTCCCTGATACCAATTTCTTTCTTTCTTTTCTTTTTTTTTTTTGGTCTTTTTGAGACAAGGTCTCCCTGTAGCCCCAGCCAGCCTGGAACTCACTATGTAGACTAGGCTGGCCTCAAACTCACAGAGATCCACCTGCCTTTGCCTCCCAAGTGCTGGGACTAAGGGCATGCACCACCACGTCTGGCTGCTGATACCAATTTCTATCTTTATTACTTTCCTATTACTTTGATAAAATACCAAAATAAACTTAAGAAAGTTTATTTGAACTTATGGTTCCAGATGGTTAGAGTTCATCATGACAGGGAGGCAGTGTAACAAGCAGTAATCTGAGAGATCACATCTCATCTGTACACTGTACATAGAAAGCAGAAAGTGAACTGGAAATGGGGTGAGGCTATGAAAGTCCACCTTCAGTGACATGTTTCCTCCAGCAAAGCTATGAAATAAAATTCCTAAATGTTCCCAAACAGCACCACAAATGCTTGAGCCTGTGGGGGGACATTCAAAATACTACAAATGGTACACATGTTACAAAATAGCATGGCACTTGTTTGCATGCAACATATTTGCATAACTTTGGGAAGCCCAATTAGTTCACAGTGTTAATAGAACAGGACTGAGGTTGGCACGTTGGAAACAATGAAGCTAAAGAGGACAACACATTTTAAGTTGGATGTTAGACCATCCTGGCTGTATAGAGCTGAGCCTTGGGAACAGTATTGGTACAGAGGCATATTAGACCCTGAATGGTGTGTGACATACTGAAGGGCACTCAGTCTTGATGGGGGTAAAGTGCTCCTGTGGTGGAGCAGAGATATTAGAGCTATGGAAGTTTAGGAGGAAGAGGAAAGCAATGATGTTGAGAAAATGAGGCCATAGAGGAGGAGTCATTCTGGTTGACTATGAAACATGATGTTGTGGATGGGTGTTAGTGTTAGAGTGATGACCCAATATGTGGTAGAGTGACTGCCTACCATGTGAGTATTCACCTACCATGTTTCAGACTGTCGGCTTGATCTCCAGCAATTCAAAGATAAAAAGCTAGAATGTAGTCTGGGAAACCCATGAGTTTTGGTTTCTAATTGTTTTGGAGACACAAAACAAGCCAATGGGGTTGATCAAATTAAGGAACCAAGTGGTCAAGCAGAGTGAAGGGCTGTCAGCAGGTCTTGTGATGAAGCTGTCTGCTAACTGCAGGAGAAAGATGAAGGAGATGGAGAGAGGAAAGTCTATGAAGTACCACAAACATCAAGATGAATACATTACATCAACATTGGTTAGAAAACCAGCAAGAATGTATCAGCTCCACGTTTCCTAATCTTCACAGAAAAGTGGCTTCTTAGTAAAAACTCAGAATGCAATTTATGGAGTAGGTAGAAGATAGGAGTAATTAAGAAATATGAGAAAGTGGCTGTGATGGAAGACAATAGGGTTCAGGGGCTTAACTTAGAGTGATGGTCTGAATCATACACTGAAGCCAGTAATGGCAGGAAAATGGAATCAGGGCTTTAAAAGGAAGCTCAGGCTTAGGCTATGCTGAGCACACTGGGCATAGTCACATGTTTGCCAATCTAAATGGTGCAGAGGCCAAGTTGAAATGCAAGCTTAAAGGACCTTCCATAGAAATACTTTTGGCTTTTGTGTATATGTGTGCAGTTATGTTCCTGATGATTGATTAGCTGATGATATTTGTGCATGCCATTAATACTAATAAAGATAAATATCCTTCTGAACCTGCAAAATATCCTTTGGCAGAGTGTTACTCAAAAAATGGACTGGACCCCAGCAATCAGCATCCACTGGGAACTTGTTAAAAATGTTACATGTTGGGCTGGAGAGATGGCTCTGTGGGTAAGAGCACTGACTGGTCTTCCAGAAGACCAGAGTTCAAATCTCAGTACCCACATGGCAGCTAACAACCATCTGTAACTCCAGTTCCTGAGAATTTGTTGCCTTCTTTTGGCCTCTGCAGGCATTGCATGACACAGGTGCACTTACATACATGAAGGCATAACACTCATATACATTAAATAATTAAAAAAAAATTTTTTTTTTTAAATCTAGGGCCTCCTCACTCTAGTCCCACTCAATCACACTATGTGGGTAGGACTTAAAAATCTCTATAACAAACCCTGCTCGTTCCCATGGACGTTGCAATAGCTGGGACCCTCAGAAAATGACCTCAGCAAGGCAAGGATTCTGAAGCCCTCAGTTGCCTGGCTGGTCCCATAGCTTTCTCCTCAGAGGCTAAACTGAAAGCGGATGGAGGAGTTACACTAGCTTATGCTCCAAGCAGGGGTCCTAACAGTGTGTGTTCCCTTTTCACCTATAGAGGCCCTCTGGGATAACTTGCTCTACTGGCTGGCTGAGGAGCTCTCTGAAGAAGGTGCAGAGGTCCTCATCGAGTCCCTACCTCTGCGCCGCAGCACCGTGCAGCTCATCAAACTCAAGCACCCAAATGATCTGACAGAGCAAATCCACGAACTTCTTTGCTTCTGGAAAAGATCGCTCCCAACTTCCACAGACAAAATTCGCCTGCTGTCGCGGCATCTCCGCAAGATGGGCAGGAGTGATCTTGCAGAGGAGCTCAAATTCAAGTGGGAAAAGAAGGTGTTCACGGCGCCTCAGCCCTGGTTTGATGTGACTGCTGAGTAAAGACTGAACGGTTCACTCTTCCTTTCGCCCTAGAAAAAGTCTGAAAAGGCTCATGGGTTTTAAAGATTGTGTCTTCCAACTTTTTCCAAGCAATTTCCAAGTAAGAGCGTTCTAAGTGAGTCTGTTTGGTAGGGTCACTGCTGAGAAATCAATGGAAACAAAGGAAGAATTATTATCAGACAGCAAAAAGCATTCCGTGGTGCCAGCACCCTTCGCTGATGACTGATGTTTTCTGCCACCAGGAATACCTTTGATTGTAAGGCTTCAGAGCATTTGCAATGGATTTCAATAGCCATGACTGTTTTCTAAGTGCGAAGTAAATATATGGTATAGAGAATCAACATAAAATTAAACTAGCTGTTCATGCTCCAAGCAACCAATTCCAGCTACATAGAGGCCAGGGCCCCACAGGTGATGATATGAAATAAAGTTTGCTAATGGTAGGTGATAACAAGCCACTTTAGGAAACCAAAATGCGTGAAATAAAGATAGAAAAACACTTCATCCACTCACTGCCACAACCTCTTATAACAAGGGCACCTGGAATCAGTGCATTTTTGTGTTTTATTATTAGGGAAATGAAGTGCATGTCAAATACTTCGAGGCCTCTTTCCGCTACTTAAGGAACATACTTTTTACTAAGTTAAGAGGAACCTTGTTACAGAATTGTTCATGGGGACAAGGAAGGAGGCACAGGCTTATGCTGTCACCCTCAGCGGCCTTAATCTTTTAGGGGCCTTGATTTGGGACAAACTGGGAATCTTGGTTTCAACACAGAACAGAAATTCAGTGCTAGGCAGAATGGAGCAGCTTTGGGGTTTAATAATATTTAATGTAGGTGTACAGATGAGAGTTAAGAGAGAAGAGGGGTACTCTTTCTAGAAAGCCCCATGCCGGACAGCACAATGTCTCTAGACAGGCACACTTCATTGTCTTTGCAGTGTCACATACAGGATTTTGGTGGTTTTTGAAGCTATTGCCTTTAAAAGGTTTTTAAGAAACCTAAATGAGATCATAGGGTGGTTCCTGAGGCACGCCTGGCAGGTTTATATTTGATAAGATCACAGGATGTTAGCAGGTAGGGACTCTTTACTGTAAACAAAGTTGAGATTCCAAAAAAGTTTCTAAGGAGAGGAATGAGGCCCTAACCAAGATCATTAGCATTCAGGCCCTAGGCCTGGACCACTACTACTGCGTATTTGAAAGGATGAAAGGAGTATTGTCTCTAGGCTGGCGACTTTCACAGCAAATGTTGCTCTTTCTAGAATTCTTGCTTCTCAGCTGTGGAGAGGCTTTGACAAGATTCTGTAATGAGGGGCCTGTCTCCTTTTGCACATCTCTACAACTTTCTGTTTTTTTAATCATGTTCCAATAAGCTCTACATGTCCATCATTAAATATCAAACTCCTCCATCCATTCATATGTATGAGCTTTAAGCCTTTGGAAAACCTAAGGCACCTTAGCCTCCTGAAGTAGGTCAGTAGAAAGGGGATGTTGCATCAGTTTCACGGATTTATTAACTCAAATCCAATGTGACCTTGGCTTGCAAACATTAGTAGCAATTAGATTCAGTTACTGAATACTTGGATATTGTGTGGAACCTAAATATTTTGATGGCTTTTAATTTTCAAGACAATATTTTCTTCTATAAATTAGCTATGGAATTCTGTATTTATTTGGTTATATATGGAAAAATAAAGCTTAATTTCCAAACATGTTAGCAAGAAGAAATATTTTATTACTTGAGAATTTTAGTTTTTATGTCACCCGAAAGATTCAATGTGTATTTTCATGTGTTCTTTGAATAAAAAACAAAGTAAAATATTTATTGCTTTACTGACCAAAAAAAGAAAATAAATTCCATGTTTCTTTTATTCTACTGCTAGGGATTACTATTATACATATTAATGTGTTTTCCTCCAAGAAAATACTTTTATTCTTATTTGTATGGATTTGTATTCACACACTTCTATATGTGTTTCTGTACACTTACACACACACACACACACACACACACGCAACGCACACACACCTCCTAATATACATGGCCTTGCTTATTCATCTCCTCACTCATTTAATTATGAGTACTTTTCAATGCCTTTACGTGTTTTAGTAGTCTATCATAAGCAAATCATAATTAACTTTAAAAACTGTTTAAAATGAAAAAATGTGATTTATATTTTCATATGTTTTAATTTTTGATGCAACTTCATGCTATTGAAATTCACCCATATTGCCATATTTGATTCATTCAGATTACTCTAGAATATTTCATTTGTAGACGTACATATACTGCTGTATCTATTCTATTGTAAATGAAGGTTGAAACAGATTCTAATTTGGGGCTGTCACACAGAGCGCTGTGATGACATTCTTTGCATACTTTTTAGACAGCATAGGTACTTATGCTTTCAGGTACACACCTGAGAATGGAATTGGGGGCTTGTAGAGTCTGACCTTCTAAATTCAGAACAAGGTAGCAATGATCTTGGACATCACCACTTACATGACTGTTTATGCCAGAGAGGGTTAGAAATTATCTACCACTTACATTAATCACCAACTTCACTAGTGAAAACCCATTACCAACATCATTCTCTAATTAGTAAGCACCTTATTTTATAAGTAAAATAAAGCTTATTATTCAAACTAACAAATGTATAGTGTTGAATAATAATCATCTTGATTAAAGAATATGTCTGGGGTACAAATTCTTGATTAGATCAATTGACTGCTCTATGTTTTGTTTTTTAGACAGTGTCTACCTATAGCCCCAGCTGGCTTGGAACTTGCTACGTACACCAGGCTGGCCTTGGTCTCATAGAGATCTACCTGCCTCTGTCTCCCAAAAGTTGGGATTAAAGGTATGTCCCACCATACCCTGCCTAAGTCAATTGGCCAATCTTAATGTGTATATTCTGAAGTATTTTACAGTAAAGGAGAAAAATCTTAAGTTATGTATGCTTTGCGAAGATCACAATCCATTTTTCAAAATAGTAAAATTCTGCAGGTAAAGGCCTATTTTTCTAACCCGATATTTCCCAGAAGGATGTTATGATATTTTAAATAGAATATTCCTTTTAAAAATTTAACTTGAATTAGCTCATGAATTTCAGGCCCTTTATATTACCTCTGACCACCAAGGACTCAAAGTGAGAGACCTGAGTGACTCCATCTTGTACAAAACCTGCATAGGACTGACCCAGGCCTGGGCCCTGTTCCAAGAAAAACCACAATACTTGGAACGGATAGAGAACAGCTTCCCTGCCCTTGGTCAATTAACCAAGGACAGGAAAGTACTAAAAGTCCAGATATCTTTTCAGATTTCCTGAAACCAGCAGGTTATGGTTTGGCACTGGGCTGCAACCAATCAGATGCTTGCCAGGCTGGAGAACCCTACTCCCCTACTTGCTGAACTTGCTGAAATAAACCTATAAAAACCTCTGTCTCCCAAAGCAAGGGTTCTCACATCTGAGATCCTCTGAGTCGGTGACAGAGCGGACCCAAGCTTAAGCTTATAACAGTAAAAGAACCCTTGTGTATTTGCATCGGGTGGCTCCTTGGTGGTCTTTGGGGTCTCTTGAACTGGGCACAACAAAAGCACCTTTAGCAAGTATGACTGTAAAATGCTTTCCACATAGTTCTGTACATGAGGTCAGGGGGAAGGGGAAGGTGGTAAGAATCAGTATTTGAATCAACTTTGGTTTGAAGTAGGTTGTGAAGGAAAGCAGAAAGAGTAAGGTAAGGGAAACCTAGGATGTTTAATGGCCAAGGGCTCTGACTTAACTCTCCAGCTGCTACTGGTGTTTGCTAGAAATGGTCAGTGCACTCTGGTGGCATGCTAAGCAAGATTGCCAGTGAGGAGTCCAGTGCTGTGCCACAGAACAGGAGGTTTATTGAAGGTACAAAGTCAGGCTCCTTAATGAACAAAAGCAGTAGTGGAGGGGAAGAAGGAAATACTTGGGGAGATCAAAATCAGGCTGGGGGATTCCCAGGAGCTTAGCCAAGCATTGCTTCTGTAATCTAACCTCTCAGAATGTCCCTGCATGGTCTGCACATTTTCAAAGACTTTATACCATTCATTTAGTCCTCCACTCATCACCACCTCTGTTAGTCTACTTCACTGGCATCTCCTCCCCCATTTATTGTCTAACATATTAAGTGCCTTACTTATTTATTGTAATTGTTTACTTTTTGTGAATCAGCACCCACTTCTGTGCACATACACAAAATTCGTGCACTTGTCTCTTGTTCCTTGATGTACCAGAACTCTGGGACCAATATAGTACGTGTTTAACAAGTGTTTCACTGTCTGTTTTCTTTATACTACAAAGGAGAAAACTGCAAGTTGAGTTACATGATACTTAGAGGTACAGCCCAAGTTAGAATCCAGAAGACTCTATTTTCAGTTGGCCATGGTAGCACCTATGTTCAAACCGAATGATCTGGAGGCCGAGAACAGGATGTCAAGTTCAAGGTCAGCCTGGGCTATGCAGTAAGACCCTTCTTCAAAAACCAAAACAAACAAAAACAACATAAAAGCCCTAGAAGGTTGTTTTCACAGTCCCTTTCTTCTGCTTCCATCTTCCAATCCCTTGACTATTCCCTCGACTCTCCTCACCAAACTTTCCTATCCCTTAACCTTGACACTTTTTTTTTTTAGTTTCCTGAATTCTCAGGACTGGATTAATTATCCATTACACTCCATCCTTGAGATTGCTATAACAGCTCTATACACCTTTGTACCTTCCTGTTGCAATATTATAATCACCTTGTAGGTTTCTGGAGGACAAATCCTTGACTTTTGTATATCAGTGAGGTCCCAGGACTTTGCACAGAACCCAGCAGATAGTAAGTACTCAAGAATTCTTTGTTGAATTAATGTATGAGAAATTAACATGGACACACTTACATGCCATCTGGACTTTTCCAGTTCCATCTTTATTCCAGAAACAACTCTGTGGGGGCAGATAAAAGCATAGCTAAAGCTAGCCACAATT